ACTTCCAAAGAGAGTCTTTATACCCCGCTCCCCAGATAATTTCCCAAAAGCGCACATTTGTCCATTTATTCCATAAAGCAGATTAACCCTCTCCCCTAGCTGTGTGTGTTGCTTTTCCCAAGACTGTTAAGGCTCTCCTGCATTTTCCATCATTCTCTTCCTTTTAATGTCTACCTGGAAAGAAAAAAAAAACTGTCTACCATGAACATACTCTCTAATGTGAATATGTAGCCAGGTATTTATTTATCTATTATTAACTATAAACATAGACATTGTTTGTTTGCTTTGAGACAGGGTTTTGCTAGATAGCCCTAAATGGCTGGAAATTCACTGTGTAGACCAAACTTGGAACTTGTAGTGGTTCTCTTGCCTCTGCCTGCTGACTGCTAGGATTACAAGTATAAATTACCACACCCAGCGGTAACTAAAACCTTTTCCAGCCAGCACTTACAAGGTTGAGGCAGTTCAAGATCAGTCTGGGCTATGTGAGATCCCTCTCAAAAGTTAAAAAACAAAACAAAACAACAACAACAAAAAACCCACTTTTTTTAAGTTTTAAAATATACATTTTGCAGGTTCACCACACACCGCTCTTGTTTTCTCATCCCGGGCTGTACATCTAGTAGGCATTTGAATATATGACCCTTGGTTTAGAACTTGGGGTCATTTTCTTAGCTAATATTTAAGCTCCTAATGAAAACAGAAATTCCAATGTTGTGTGTGTTAACTTCATCTCCTATGCTGATTGTACCAGAAGACATCCTAGGAGGTAAAACCAAGGGTGAAATCCATACCAAAATAGTTTGGGTAAGAGAATTCAAGCAAAATATCTGAAAGAGCCATGGTTCATTTGAAGAGGATCCATCCATGTACAACTCCTCTTGATAGAGCAGACTAAAGATAAGGTATTATTTTTCTCTCTTGTGGATATCTGGTCACAAAAGGGCCTGGCTCTAATGTATCCCTATAGTAAAGTCTCAAATAGTTTGCATCCAGGCAAGAGTGTAGCATATGCAAGACACTAGAATTTAAAAGGATCAAAAATTCTGGCCCTTTCACTCAAGAAGACACAATGGTAACCCTTTGTCTGGAAAATAATTATCTTTAGGCTGAGTCTAACTACACAAAACAGAACACACCTTCATTAGTGGATATATTAAGAAATTGTGACATACTCTATGTGTAGAAATACAATGTACATGTTAAATAATACTACAATAGGATGAGTTGATAGTTTTAAAACTATTTTTATTTGTGTCTCTGGATATTTTAACTTCTTGTTTGTGCAACACATGTATGGGTGCCCTTGGAGGACAGAAGAAGGTATCAGATCCCCTGGGACTGAAGTTAGTGACAAATGTGAACTGCCATGTGGGTGCTGGGAATTCAACACCACTGGGAGAGAAACCAGTGGTTTTAACCACTGAGCCATCTCTCCAGCCCCTTGATACAGTTTTAAATAAAAGAAAAACAGGAAAACTTTGAGGTTAGACAAGCTGAACTAGTGGATTTTAAAGGACAGAATAAACATGTGACACACCTGTTCACTGAATATTTCCCACATGATCTTCCTAGACCCAGAAGCAGAAAAGCAAAGTTGAAAAAGCAACATAAAATGCAAAGATGGTATTGAAGCAGAAATCAGAAGACAGACGTGGGTCTCTGACGCATACTGTTTAGGATCCTGGCCTTTACATAGTCATTTGTTGCAATTGTTATTTGGACTGGTAAATCCTTCCATATCTAACTCAGAGGGGTGAAATGGGCTTATCTACATACATAAGAGCACTTTGAAAACTATACATTTTCTCTATGTGAATAAAGAAACATTATGCAGGATCCTCTGTGTTCTGATAAATTAGCTTCTACAGAATTTGTCTTGATTAGTCGCAGGTTCAAGAAAATTACATTTGTTGAACAATTACTATATGTCTGGTATTATCTAGACACAGACCCTAGCATTGAATAAGAGACAAATAATCCTATAAACTTAGGGATGGTCGTCAGCATATCAATTGCCTACTAAGCATCAAGTGCAGAGGAGGCAGGAAAAATCTAAGTTCTAGACTTAACTCTGCTGCTGTGTAAACTGACAAGGACTTTTGTGTGTCAACCCGGATATCCTCATCTGTAAAATAAGGAGATAAAGTGACCTCACATGTTCTTTACAGTTGAGCTTCCCTAACTTAATGTGTTGCCTTCCTACAATGTCCCTGTTGAAAAAGCTGAACAGTTAGAGTAAGGACAAGTACTAAAGTCATGCTAGATTCAGCACAATAGTAACAGAGGTACCATGTTTGGTAGTAGAGTGCTCAGAGAGACTTCATGGAAGACTAGGCAGATTGAGAAGGATGGAGACTTTGGAGCAGAAAGAAGGGAGGAGACTCTTGTATGTACTGGAAATTGAGTGGAAGTTCAAAGAAGTAGAGCATTCGTCTTTTTTTCCTATTTTTTTTTAAAAAAAGAGTTAAATTTTAATTATTTGTGTGGGTCTGTGTCCACTGAAGCCAGAAGTGTCAGATCCCCCTGAAGCTGGAGTTACAGACAGTTGTTATAGCCTGATGGACGTTCTGGGTATCAAATTCTGGTCCTGTAAAAGTGGTTCATGCTCTTAACCAGTGAACTATCTCTCCAGCCCAGCCCCCATATATTATTTTTCTAATGTAGCAGTCAGAGTCTTAGCAGAAAGGCCGTTGATACAGACATAAAGATTTAACTTAAGGGCCTGGTCGGTAATAAAGGGACTAGCAAGAAGTAGACACAAGAGGAATAAGAACAGAAGCTCTCCTAAGGCTAAGGGGATCAAAGGAAAGGACTGTTTATCCTGGAGTCAAGCTAGAGCTACAGCTTTGGGAGAAGGGGCTTCCTGACAAGCTATGATCCTAAGTGGTAAGAAACCACTGCAGGAATTTGAGCAAGGTGCAGAGGAATAAATACCCTAATGTTTCCCTTGTCCTTCAATTGCCAGCTAGTACTTTTCATTGCTAAGACCTAAATGGCAGTCTAGAGCCAAGAGAGTATGGAGTATATACTTCATAGACTTCAGCTTCCCAGACCAGGACAGATGAGTTGGAGAATGGGAAAGGAAATAGCAAACAACATTTTCTCCAGGAGCAAACCATCATTGTAGATGCTTTCCAAATAGTATCGTGTCCCCTATGTGAAAATACTGTAAGGTTCAGTGTCCTTATCTGTGTTTGAAGGTTCTGTGATGTATATGAGTGCCCAGCATGGAGCCTTGCTCCTCTGGATCCCCACTTTATATTAGGTCCTTTCTTACATGCCCAAATAGCTCCTTCTCTAGCTCATTCTAGCTAATTCTAGCTATTCAGCAGGCTGAGGCAGAAGATTTTGAGTTCAAAGTCATGGTGCAGCATAATGAAACCAAGTCTCAAAAACAAAGTGAGAGGGGCTGTAGACATAGCTCAGCAGCAGAGTGTACTTGCTGCTCTTCCAGAAGACTCAAGTGCAGTTCCCAGCACCCACAGTCTCCTGCAACTCCAGCTTCAGGGAATCTGACACCCTGTTCTGGCCTCCACAGCTGCCTGCACTCAGGTCCATTTACTCCCACACAAACACGGGCACATAATTTTAAAGTAAAAAAGATAACCTCCTTAAAGCACTGAGTAGAGTGTCCATCACACTCCATTGTTAATGAGTGGTAGGTATTATAGCATCAGGATGCCAGCTCACTGACAAGCAGTTTTTGTTTCATTCTTAGGTGGTGTTTCTCTGAGATGAAATACATAAAAGTTTTTATTTCAGGTAAGTACTCAGCTCATATCAGTTGAGGTAGAGTTCACAAGCAGTACTAGGATCTGCCTAGTCCTGCACTGTATCACATTCCACTCACACAGCTTGTGCTTTCCAAACATTTGCTTTTTGTTTTTCTTTGTTTGTTTTGCTTTTTTAAGACAGAGTTCTCTGTAGCTTGGAGCCAGTCCTGGAACTCACGCTATAGACCAGGCTGGCCTCGAACTCAAAGAGATCCGCCTGCCTCCACCTCCCGAGTGTGTGCCACCACCGCATTTGTAAAGCATTGAACAGGTGTCCTCCTAGAAGCACCTTACAAATTGGGATCTGCATTGGCTAAAGAAGTATGTTCTCGGGGCCTGGGGAGATGGCTCAGAGGTTAAGAGCACTGGCTGTTCTTCCAAAGGTCCCAAGTTCAATTCCCAGCAACCACATGGTGGCTCACAACCATCTGTAATGAGATCTGGTGCCCTCCTCTGGCCTGCAGACATACATGCAGGCAGAACAGTGTAAAAATAAATAAATCTTAAAAAAAAAAAAAGAAGAAGAATGTTCTCAGTGATAGGAGGCCCACCTAGCATGCATAATGCTCTACGTTCAGCCACCAGATAACCGGAATGGGGGGAATTATATAGCTTGCTGGGCACATTTCTAAGCCCAGAACTTGGGAAATGGAGGGAGGATGATAAAGAACCCAAGGCCAGCCTCAGTAGGTAGTGGGTTCCAGACCAGCTTGAGTTATGTGAGACCTCATCTCAAAAACAAACAAATACAAAATAGAACTGCAAGAAACTTGACTAGGATTCAAACTTGATTTGCCTCTGACCTTGCCTGGAACTACTTTTTCTGTAGAATCAAGGGGAAAAATTTGTAAAATTGAACTTGAGGTTATTATTGAGTTTAGTTATAACCCCTGATGATATTAGTTTGTACATGACAGTAGTGTTTAAGTATTCTTTTTAGAGGCCAATAAGAGTAGTAATGTTT